CTAAATGTGAATGTGCATTAATTCATCCCACTCACAAAAAACAGATTTAGTATTCATCAAAATGAATTAAAACAGTGAAATGCAAACTCAGAATATGACGCAAACCTGCAATAATTAAATGTTAAATAACACAAATGTATCTAATCCCATTTTATTAACCAATGTCTTTGCTGCTGACCTTTGCTGATCCAGTTCAACCATACTAATAACCAAAAATGACTTTAGATAAACTAACAATTGTGCTTCATTGTTTTTTTTGTTATTGCTGAAGAGTGTTTCTTCTCCTGCGTTCTAATGTACAGACGTGAATTTACTTTTCCTTCAGCATGAGGTTTATTCATTACACTTTTTGGTGTGAAAGGGCTTTTACATTTGCTATAAATAGAACTTCTTATATTAAAAACAATCAAGCCCTGTTCATATTTAAAAAGTAATGTGAAAGTAACGCAAAAGTAATATAACGCATTACTTTCCATAAAAAGTAACTAAGTAACGTAATTAGTTACTTTTTTAGGGAGTAACGCAGTATTGTAATGCATTACTTTTAAAAGTAACTTTCCCCAACACTGAAAACCAGTTGGCCTTAGCTGATTTTAGCTGGTCTTCCAGCCTGACTGAGCTGGTCAAGCTGGTCTCTCAGCCTGGCCAAGCTGGTTTTAGCTGGTCAGTCACCTAGTCTCCTAGTCTTGCCAGCTAAAGAAGTGGTCAAAAACCCTCTGAAACCAGCCTGCTATATTCTAGGTATTTTTTTATATTAATTTTCTTATTTGCACCATTGAGATCTCATTGTGAATGGGGCTACACAGACAGAACAAATAGATGCAAACCTGCCAATGAAATGTCCTGTTGCTCATTGTTTCTGAAACAGGTTTTGCGTCAGAAAAATGGGGTTGCCAACAAAAGATGGGACAATCCCCTTAGGGGGGGGGGGGGGGGTGAGTGACCACATATACACACACACACACACCTACATTATGTATATATACGTATTTTTCAATTAAAGACAGCTTATAGATTTAATATGGGCTGCTTTTGGTGCTTGACACCTTTTTATTGGTCATTTTGTGTTTCAAGAATAAGGTCCAAGGTTAAGAATTATGCAATTAGTTACTTAAATATAAAATGTTTATCTCTATTTCTCTATCAGTGGTTAGATCAGCGTAGCAGTCAAAAACGGGACAAGGGAAGTCACGTACGGGACAAATCAATTAGGCCCAAAATTCGGTTGGCAACCCTACTGATAGGACACATTTTAAAAGTTCCCTGGGAATCAAAACATGACCTTAGTGTTGCTAGCACCATGCTCTACCTAGTGAGCTAACTTATAACGCATTACACTAAAACAATGTTTAAATTAAAATAAAGCCTTGGGAATCATATCAGCTTAGACATGAGGCTGTCAGGTTTGTTCACAGACTGAATCATTTACCTTAATTACTCAGGCCAGGAAAACAAAATTGAGTTGTCATGTCTGTCAGTGCAACCACTGTTTCATTGTGGATATCAACTAAATGTTTGCCTTCTCAATAAATAGGCCTACAAATGCAGTATTTATAGTACAAACTAAATGGACAGAAAATCTATTCCAGAGATGTGACGACTTTCCAAACATAAACACTTCAGCCAAACTTTCACATAGCAACAAGTAATCTGCAGAGCTGAATGCCAAACGACAGATTGCTTTGACTTGGCAGGAGAGGGTTGATAGTGTAAGATTCAGATCTTCCATTTATAGAAAGAAAACCTGCATGCGATAATTCAGTCTTGAGGAAGCGATAAAAAATACCTGTGTGCAGGGTCTATTTTGGGATTGGAGCAGTCAAGGTCATCCAAGCGGAAACAAATTGTGTAGGAGGCACGGCTTACAAAGGGAATATGTTAGTGCTTTCCGCAGAGCTCGGCACACAGACAGGTGGATCTAAGAAAGAGACCTGCTGAGAGGCTGATGGGAAGAGAGCTAAAGGGCGGGAAAGAAGTCTATCAGTAACTGAAGAGGAGCCATTATACAATCCGGGCACAAAGAGTCAAAACAAGAAGGTTTATGAGGGGAAGATGAGGCAATACACTGTGAAGAGGTTAGACTGTTTTGGCAGTCCTGTGATAGCAAACAGTGGTTAAAGATGTCAAAGACATCTTACTAAGAAAACAATAAAATAGAGAAGTAAAATACAAATTCTTTATTCAGTTTTTTTTTTTTTTTTTTACTCTGAGCAATAACAGGCACAACTAATGCAGGGCTACAGCCTACAGACTAAATAAAATGTCTAAGGAGCCACTGGCTTCTACAATTAGTTAAGTTTTAATTACAGAATCACTCTCTCTCTCTCTCTCTCTCTCTCTCTCTCTCTCTCTCTCTCTCTCTCTCTCTCTATATATATATATATATATAGGCTATATTCTGAACGATTCACTGAGTGAGTCTGATTCAAATCGTAATCTCATGAGTGGGTTTGAAGCTGCTTTGTAAATCTTTTTGTTAAAACGACTCACTAAAAAGATCAGGTTCATAAGAGTCACTTCTTTGCAAATCAAACTTGCTCTGTGTTTACCATTTTTTTCTGCATAAAAAAAACTGGATAGCACACTGATGATACTGCATTTGGATGCATATTTTCCCACCTGCCTATATTTTAAATTGTTGTTGCAATTTTGTCATTTTTTGGGCACATCTGTATGGAAGCTTGTTTATCTCTTGTTGAGTTTATGTTAAGTTTTACCTCAAACAATTCAGGCTTTTCGGACTTCTCAGAATTGTGAGATGAAAAGTCACAATCACCTTTTTTATTTGGTGGTGGTAACAAAACAAAAAAAATTTAACAAAAATGCAAACTCAAAATTCTGAGAGGAAAATGTCAGAATTAGCTAGATATAAACTCAGAATTCCCGAGAAGTAAACTCTGAAATATGAGAAGGTAAGTCCGAAGTTTATATCTTGCTATTCTGACTATTTTCTTAGAGATGTGACTTTATAATTGCGAGAAAAAATTTCAGAATTGTGTGCTAAAAAGTGACAATTACATTTTTATTTTATTTTTTATTCTGTGGCAGAAACGGGCTTCCATATATTTTATCATTTTAGTTGTAGTTTTATCTAAATATAATTGAATATTTAAGAAAATGCCATGCTAGCCTTTTCACAGAAATAAGATGCAGCTTGTCAAAGACAGATTCTACAAGACTCAGTCACCAGAGCTCATCACCTCATCCTCCAGTCTCTCGTCTCCAGTGCTCGCATGTGACCTTGCCCGCCTCCGCCCTCTTCATCCCACTGCTGCCCTTTTGCAGGCCTGTGTGGCCCCATCACTCTTAGTGTTGGTCTCTCTGCCAAACGCCAGGGCTAAAAATATCTGTGCCAACAAGGCAGAGTGGGTTCAGCCCTCTAACAGGAATAGCAGAGTAGCAGTCAACTGCTGTCTGACAGAGTCACTGGAATTGTCAGTTTGCTAGAAGCACAATGCACTCTCTTTCTCTTTCATTTTCTCCCTCTCTGTTTTCCTTCCATTGGTTGGACAACATCACCGTTCCCTTGGATTCATGACATGTTTCAGACCAGACTGCTGCAGAGAGGGGGAGTTGTTTAGACAGAGGAACATGCAAATAAATACGCCATGCTGTTAATTTCCTGCAATTTCAATGGTGTCAAAATATGGGCACATACCAAGCACTTAATAACACCCACAAATGCTACATTAATCACACCATGGACCTTAATCAGGGCTAATTTGACTGATTAGTTCATTAGGTTGTACTGTTAAGTACCTTGGTGAAACATTTAGCCAACAAAACACTGAAAATAAGGTTTTCCAAAAAAACAAAAAACAGAAGTTATCAGTTGTGGAAATTACACTTTAAGATGGGACTTCATTAAGAATGAATTTGTGCATGCAGTTCATTCACAAACGTTGTATGCGTTATTTTAGGAATAGTTCACCTAAAAATGAAAATTTCCTGATATATATATACTCACCCCCAGGCCATCTAAGATGTGTATGACATACTGTACTTTCTTCAGCCAAAGAGAAATTAAGATGGAGCAAAACATTCCAATATTTTTCTCCAATGCAAGTGAATGGTGCTCAGCATGGACCATTTTTGACAGTCCAAAATTCATATTTAGGCAGCTTCAAAGTAATCCAAACACCCTTATTTGCCAGCTGGGGTTGTGTGGATTACTTTGAAGGTGCCTAAATATAGATTTTGAACCATCAAAAATGGTCCACGCTGAGCCCCGTTTACTTGCATTAGATGGAGAAAAATCCTGGAATGTTTTCCTCCAAAATCTTATTTTCTCTTTGGCTGAAAAATATCATATATTGTACAACTTGGATGGCCTGTTGTACAATATATTGTACAACTTCAATATTCCTTTAACTAAAAGAATTATGCAATCATGTAATAGCGAAAAACTATTAAATGCATCTATAATGACCCTAATTTAGATAAAAAGTTGCTGTGTTTGCACTGAAAAGAATGTCAATGTCTTAAATACAACGCAGCACTATTACAGCATTTAGCGCCTGGCTAAACTGTATTTTTGTTTGTGCATTGCATTTAAATGGTTTAACTGTGAATTTGCCCCTAAGGTTGTACAACTTATTGAATGGACAGCCTTATTTTCATTCACATTCATTTACATTTGGCATCCACATTAAGCGTCAATGTATGGTTATTTTAAGCTTTATGAATAGTGTACATTAAATCTGACTTATGTAGATAAGAAATGCATGTGTATCTTTTCCTTCTCAGCTTCGTGAAATCATTGCAAGTCTGAGTCACTCTCTATTCTACTGTGGTCATGCAAAATATTGAAATACTGTTCAAGCAGTTAGAAAGTTAACTATTGCCACCTAGTGGTGAGATACAGAAAGACACTAGCAGCCAATTTCAAGCATATAAATAATTAATCTGATTGCATGAATGCTAAAACATTGCATAAAATCACAGCGCATCTGCTGGAATAGATAAAGATATGTGATGTGTGTAAATGCTTCAGTTTTGCTTTGATCAAGCTTCAAAAATGCTAAACAGTCTGATGTCAGCCTTCAAAGTGCAACACAACTGTTTCACTAATATTTTTCATTTCCTAAGACAGTGGCAGTGAAACCACAAATGGGCGGGGATAATATCGTTTGTTGTTGTGCATCAAACAGGCCTCCAGATACAAATTCAATGGAGTGCTTATGTAATGTCAGTGAACGAGAATTTGATTCCTTTTGTTTTGGCTTCTGGTGTGTTAACACTTCCTACACACAACAAACACACCTCTTGAGCCTGCGGTTTCCGTGCCTGTGTAACAGATCTCCACTCAAAAGCTCTATGACCAACTACATTTAATTGAGTTTTATTAAATGGTCAAACAGCAGGAACCGTGGGGATTATGGTTAATGCATGTTGAGAGCCTTTGTGTTAGCACTGTCAGGAATATTTATTTATGTGTAATTGTAGCTCCCTTCTTGCGCATTTCCAATAGACCTCATGTCAGCTAAGGAATTATTCACAATAAAGCATTTAATGCTGAATAAACTGTCTTAAGCATGTGTTTGCAAACACTAAATACTGACTCACACTTTATTTTATATGTCACACCAAGAATAATGAAAAGCTAATATTATTAGCTGCTTCGTAACATTGAACAGGTTTTTTTTTTTGTTTCTAATTATTATTTTTATAATTATTTTAACAGATCTGCCGTCGCGCAAAGTGCATTTTTCATAAAGACAAAACATTATAAAGCAAACACTTACAGTATATCCTTTTAGTCAGAAACATGAAATACATTCAAAACCTGTCAAACTGCAAGCAAATGTATGCGTTTTAGCTGCCAATACCTGACACAGCATGGTGTTACTCTGCGTTTGAGGATAAACTCCTAGATCTCATTCTCCAGAGAAGGCTTCCCTGAAAGTAGAGCGAGAAATCAATAACTTCAATCATTAGTCTGGCTCATGTGGGCAAATTATATAAACATTAATTGGATATGACAGAGAGAGATTGCTTTTTTAGCTGTTTGCATTAACTATTGTTTTGTTGTAGCCTAGTTGGTCAAGAAAATCAGCCATTGTTGTGAGTTCTTACTGTAAATAGCTGTGCATAAGAAAAAAAACAGAGAAAATTAAATTGCAATATAATATAATATAATAATAAGCCCTTATATCTGTTGGGATTGATTTCGTGTTTTAATATTTGGATCCCAGAGACTGCAATGATGTTAATGTGAAAAAAATAATAATAATAGTTATTGTAAAATTCAATCTCAAATTTTTATTTTAAATTATCATAATAACATCCTCTGACCTAATCAAAACCAAACAGGCAGATCTGATCAAAAATATCCCTGTTTTACATCTAACTAATCACGCAGTTTTTAATAACATTCTTTTTGGAGTCAGTCTGATCCCAGCAAAAAAAAAAAACATGACATGTAATTAACTCTCTACAGACAAAAAACGAGGGATTGTATAACATGCCAATATTAGCTGTTTTTGACCATCCATTAAAGAGCACCTATTGTGATCAGTACTGCCCTCCTCTGGCCTTAAAGGAGAAAAGCATTGCAATGAAATATGTACGACTGCTTTTGACTGACAAAAAAATAAAGTGACTGACTGGCATATAAAGTGACAGAACCTTCATGAATCCTTCTCAGATGTTCTGAAAAATAACAACATTTGTTATTTTACTTCCTCGGTGCTTTGAAATATAACCAGCGTGCCTTTAATATGAAGACACGCACATGCGCACTCGCCACATGGTGGCAGCACTGCACTAGTCATACCGACTGAATGTTTTCCACCCTTCTTTCCGGTACAGGGGCTCACCGGGGTAAAACCCACCTGACTCAATGCCTATTAATACAGACAACGCTTCACTTTCATCCATAATGTGATTATGCCATCCCAGGGAGCAAAACGATACCCCCGACCGCAACCTGTCAATACGAATCTCTATGTGCCTATTGTACCGCCCGTCCCCCGCGGCTAGGGACAGGTCACATAAAGATTAGTCGGGTCTCCTCTCATCAGTAGGGGTCCCATCAGGAGAAACGAGCTTCTTCCAGGGAGGTGACTATAATAAACAGGTGCCTCCTTTCATTTTGTGTGCTGTCACACGGTGGTATAATTTCGCCTCTGGATCTTTCGGCACCATATTGTTTCGCCTGGTCTCTTTTCGCGCTTACTTGATGTTTTGTTGGTTTTTCGCGCGCGCGCGATTTTTTTTTATTTTTTTTTTTGTGTGCAAATATGAATAGGTCTTACTCATTTTTTCTCCCCCTCTGTTTCTGTCAGATATGTCTGCTGTGATAATTGGGCTCAATCAGAGATTATTCATGGCGCTCTCAGAATCAGACATGACCGAGCAGCTTTGTTTGCCTTGTGCCTCTCTGACAGAACCAGCCCACACGGTCGCCTTCGAACATGCCTCTACCTCACAATGTGTACTGCACTCATCCTTTCTGTGGCGCTTGCATGTCCTTAATTACGACCAATTAACGCGTGGACGCAAACGCGGTAAAACATCCTACTTCTAAATGGACATACCCTGGAAAATAACATGACAAAACCACACACACACAAAAAGGCACGGCATAGTGCAGCAAAATAACCCCACTGAATGTTATTGTATTTATCAAAGAAAGCAATTTGCTGATATTTGTGAGTTCTCTGAGTACATCTTCTTGAAAATAATTACAGCGGTAATGACTTTTTCCCGGTAATGCTGGGAGAGAAGGGAACAGAAGCCGGAGACATGTAGGCCGATAAAATATCCGCAGCCAGGCCTCCCGGTGTGCTCCCCTCTGCAGCCGCGCTACGGTCCTATATCTACACGGCTGATAAACCATTAGCCAGAGCCGTGACTCACTCGTTGATCGTAGTGAAGAGCGCTAGCGGCCAGCCTGGCCCAATACTCCCAATTGTTCCCCTAATATCTGTCTAATGGCCTCCATTTAATCTAGGGAGAATGATTATTAAGTATCCGTACCCCCTCCCTTTTCCCCTGGCCGAACACGCAGACACACAAAGCCGCAGTCCTTGCAGATGAATACATCTCAGTCATCAGTGTAAAGTAAAACATAATTAGTGCATTTTCCTCCAGTGCATGCGTATGCTAATGAGGTAGCTTCACTGCGTAATTTTAGATTATGTTTCGATAGCTACATGCAGCGAGGGAGGTTTGTCTCGGCCGGTGTGGCGCAATCGTTCTCTGTGGGTTTTCTCCAGGTCCATTGAATGGAATTTTATGGTTTTACTGCTCAGTTGAATGCAGATTATTAAGCAGCTTTTAATTAGACAAAAATTTGGTAGCTTTTATGGTTCTTATCCAAAAATAAATCCTAGGTCTACTGGTCTCCCTGCCTGGCCAAGATAGTTAGGCTAAGCTGTTTCTATGGTTCAAGATGGGGTTTGTTCAGCTAGAAAAATAGCAAAAAACTAGCTTGGTTGGAATGGGAGACAGGTTAAACCATCTTGAACCAGCTAAGACCTGAATAGTTTTTTTTAAGCATGGACCATAACAACTCTTACTTCCACCTTATTTTTTTCTCCTATTCTGTCATTTCCATTCTTTCCCCCTTTGCAACATGCTGTCTGTCGTCCCTTCCAACATTATTTGTCTTCCTTGTTTACCTTCCTTTCTTCAAGCATTATTTGTTTCCTCTACTTGTTTCCTTCCCTCCTTCCTTCAAATTTTGTTTTTGTCTTCCTAATTTTTCTTCCCTCCTCTTTGCCTTCCTTCATTTTTCTTTCCTTCCTACTTTATCAGTCCTTCTTTCCTTAGCCTATTTCATTTCATTGTGCTTCCCACCCTTTGCAACTTATTTTTCTTCTTATTGTTTTCTTTCTTTCCTCCTTCTGGCCTTCCTTCCTTTTTCTTTACTTGTTGTTTTCCCTCCTTCCTATTGTCTTTTCCTTCTTTCCACTGTGCAATTATTTTGTCTTACTTTGTCTTTCTTTTCTACTTCTTGCCTTCCTTAGTCTTTTCTTACTACTTTTTTCCTTCCTTGTGCAGCTTTGTCTTCTTACCGTCTTTCTTTCCTTCTTGCCTTCCTTCCTTCTTTCATCTCTTTTTCCTTCTTTTTTGCTTCCCTTTTGTTTTCCATCATTCCTTCTTTTTCGTCTTCCTACTTTCTTTCTTTCCTCCCTCCCTCCTCCTTCCCACTTTTTCCCTTATTTTTTCCTTCCCTGTGCAATTTTGTCCTCTTACTGTCTTTCAATCCTTGTTGCCTTAATTCCTTTTCTTTCCTTCCTCTGTCCTTCTTTTTGCTTTCCTTCTTTCATTCCTACTTTTTTGCCTTCCTACTTTAATATTTACTCCTTCAAACCATACTTTTTTCCTTCCTCTTTCCTGATTTTTGTTTTCCTTCCTTCCTACTCTTTTTCTTCCCTCATTCTTGCCTTCCTTTCTCTTTCCTTCTGTTTTTCTACCTTCCCCCATGTGTGCAACCTTCTTTGTCTTTCTGTCTTCATTCTTGCCTTCCTTACCTCATACTTTTGTCTGTCTTTCTTCAGTTTTGCATGCATCTTTCTTTCTTTCTGACACCAAATTCAGGTGAGTCGCCTGAGAAGGAAATTGAGTCAGTCCCACACTCACTAGAACAGCCATGGGGCTCGGTGGACATGCACTAGCGTGCAGACCTTCATTCACAATTCACAGCCGGGTTAGATCTCCTGTACAGCTTGACAAAATCCGGGGAACAGCAAGCCCTAGTCAAATATATTTTGTCAATATTTAGGCTTGTTCCACTTTTCATTTTATTGAGTGTCTTTGAAGAGGTGCTCATAGAAAATGAACTGCAACTCTCAATCAATATTGGTCATATGAAGGGAAAGTCTACCATGGATGATATTAAATGTTGACCGTGTTCAAGACATGAGGTACAAATATTGTGCCAGCATTTGGGGATAAAAAAAAACTGCCAAAATATGATGCAGGGATGGAATTGATTGTCCTCTTGTTTTAAGATACTGTTTGAAGTGGGTAAATAAAACTCACAAGAGAAACAAAGACAGCTTTTTACTACAGAAGTACCTGTGTATGCTTCAAAACTAGCAAAATTCTCACAGCAAAAATGTATATTTTTAAGACATTCCTGTCTTTCTGCTCCATTCACATTCTTTATTATTTCTACTTGATCAAACACAGAGTGACATATAACTGTAATATAACAAGCCCGGTCTCATGAAAATGTGTATGGATAGTACGCCAAAGAAAAACGAAAACTCGTGGTATTGATACGCAAAAATGAAAAAAAAATTTGGCGTGCATATGATACGCATGTGTTTGGTGTGCATATAATATGCAGTTTTCGCATACATATGATACGCATCTACCCCACAACCTTAAAACTACCCATCGCGTAGCATATACACGCCAAAGTCCATTTTTGCGTATCAGTACTACGAGTTTTTATTTTTATTTGGCGTACTATTTATACGCACTTTCATGAGATCAGGTTGAATATAACATAGCAATGAAGCCCATGCAGATGAATGAGTAAAAGTATATCAAACTAAACATCACATTATTGCATCATGACCCAAATTTTGCTATAATACCTTGTCTAATGTGTATATATGACAGTTCAGTTGAAGCTTTATTTATCTGGAAAACAAAACAAGAATTGAGCCAGTGTTTTGCAGATCCAGAACTACTTTTACAGGCATGTTGAATTAGCTGGACTCCAGTGTTGTTTATTTGTTTAGTTAGTTGTTCATCTATAAAAATGGAAGCACACAGCAGAAGCTGTCTGTGCTATTATCCCACTTAACCATGTTTCCAGCATTTCAAAAAAAGAATATCATCCAATTCATATGGGCTCATTAGCTCCAACTATGAACTTATGTGTGTTTTTAAAGCAGGAACAATGAAGCTAACACTTTTATAAGTGCTCTTCACTCTGCATACTCTAACAGAGAACTATCAAATTAACTTGATTTCTTGGAGCGCAGGTCTCGGTTAGCGTACCTGACACATGTCGTGGTGCGTTATTGGGGCAGTTACCTTTCAGACATGTGCTGTGGAGTGAACAGGGAAAGGTTAAAGAGGTTTCATTCACCAGTTAAAAATAGTGGAGCCTCAGTAATGGGGGAATGATCATTTCCGCCGTGCTGCAAGGTCTTCGATGGCTGCCAACAGCATTAAGAGCGTAGCAAGGATGTGGGGTACTTCAGAAGAAGCTAATCAGGCACAATACATCCCAGTGAAAAGGTTCTGGGTTTTGAAAGGCTGCAAATTGAAATGGAGAGCAGGAGAACCTATTCAGAAACATATCTAAATGTATATATATATATACAGTGACCAACGCCCGTTTTGTCAAGAGGTTGGCGAAAGTCCTATTAAGCTAAAGCAAATGTTCATTAATCAGAAAGATGGATAGTAATGGCATACATAAAACATCTGCAAGAACAAAGCATTTGTATGAATTAGTTTTCACAAATCAATTACGAATGACCTACTGAACATTCTTTTATATTGCAAATTGAAATGGAGAGCAGGAGAACCTATTCAGAAACATATCTAAATGTATATATATATGTACAGTGACCAACGCCCGTTTTGTCAAGAGGTTGGCGAAAGTCCTATTAAGCTAAAGCAAATGTTCATTAATCAGAAAGATGGATAGTAATGGCATACATAAAACATCTGCAAGAACAAAGCATTTGTATGAATTAGTTTTCACAAATCAATTACGAATGACCTACTGAACATTCTTTTATAGAAGCATGATGGACCCAGTTTTAGCCATAACAATCAAAGTTTAAGGGAGGCATACATCAACGTGTTATTGACGTATAAATGTTTTAAATTGTCTGCTATACATTCATTGTGAGTTGATGCTGAATGCAAATGTTTCTGGTTTGGACCAGAAGAATATGGGTGAGAAACAGCTAGTTTTGATGTATGCATCTCAATATGACTCTGTATAAATTACTTGCATGTGACACATACATGAATTCACACTCAAGAGAGAACAGTGACACAATCTCCTTATGCACGTGGTCCGTTTTTAAACTCTAGAGTCCACTAAATGATCTCTGGAGAAGGATTTACCTTTTTTCCCTAAGCTGCTGATTCTCAGAAATGTTAAATAAACATGGTAATTGGTAAAAGTGGTAAATGTTTATAGCATGCTATTTATACTGAACGGTCCAATTAAATGAAGAAATTTGGGCAGATTTTCAAATATTGTGAGTGAATGGAAAAAGTTCAATATAGTGTTATATAAGGTACACAACTGAGGGTTTCTTTTAGTCAGAAATTAATTGTTGAACCAATACATAAAAATAAAAAAAATCTGTGTTCAAACCCTTGTTTTTGCCTTACTGAATC